AATTATCATATGATCGCTCGTAAACATGGCTGAAACAGCGGAAGACCACCGAACGTCTTCGGAAAATGAGGTAATTCTGCCGATCTTTTCCCTGACAATCCCTTGATTTCCACCGATTTTACTTTGATAACTTACTGTGGATTTAAACGGGTCCGGTTTTCCTTTTCATGGTAGCGCGCGTTTGTTTATATCGCAAAGTGACATGAAAAATTTATCACTCAGTCTGAGAACGCATTGCGCGGCAAATTTTTTCGATTTTTACGGCATCTGAAGACTGCGATTTCTTCCTTTTCAATGCGATTTTATTTTCGTTGAAATGGTTTATGCTTCCGATAACTTTCCATGTAGTTCGATGTGATGAAACTGTTTGTATAGAAACTTTTGTTTTCATGTACAAGTATCACAATATGAACTTTACAAAGCATTGTGAGGAATGTACGCTTGTTTGATGGAATGAAATTTAGTTTGGTATTGTAAGTTAAGTTTACAAGAATCTTCTTGATCTGAAAGTGGTTTACTGCTTTACCTCATTTACAAAAAGTAAATTTACTTGCTAGCTGATAAAATTGTGTAAGCGTACACGAGAAAACCTTGGCGCTGTAGGGAATCATTTGTAGCAAAGCGCCTAAGTTGCTGCTTATTTCGAGAAAAAAGCTTGCGGGACGCCAAATCATGAAAGTGATGATTTAATAAAGTTGACGAGAGATACAGTTTTTGACGTCTTTATTTACACACTCTTAATAGTTTGCGACAAAACATGTTGCTCCACTATCTGTTTAGCTTTAAATCAAAATTTAATTCGCAATATTCTAATGGTATCGGCAATTTTATACTTTATAAGTGTATTTGATTTCGTTTTCATTACGCATGTAAGCCCTTAAGATTACTGATTAAAAACTTAAGATAAGCTGGGGAAATCTAGCGGGATGAGCTTTAAAATTTTTACTTCAAAATGTTCTGATTGATTGCAAGATGTCTGTTGCAATCGCTTCACTATTATAACTTTCAAGACTTTTGAGTTCTCGGCAAAATAACCTTGATTTTTTCAAGACTATGAAGCAAGATGTATGACTCATTCCTTGCTAAATAATGTACTAAATTTTCTTTTACTCGCATAGCTTTCGGACTGAAGGTACAATGAAAATTTCTAAACAAATGTGTTATGTTCTCATGAGATAGCATTTATTTCATCCTGCGAATACAATGCAGACAGCTCTGTAGACCTTGTGTAAACAATGAAAGTGTTAATTAAGTTTGGTTGATTTCCTCAGTTTTATATAAATTCATATGAAGTATAGTTATTTTCCTAGAAACACACATGCCTATAACATTTATGGTTAGTTTCATGTTATTACATTTATTCATTTTCTTCACAGACATCAGGAGTGACAGGTTCTGCAGAATCTATAGACCTATCCTGTATCCATGTAAGTACAGCTTAGGTCAGAGACTTAAATGAGAGTTTATGCCTGAAATATAATAATAAAAAGCAATTATAATAGATTTTACAAGATCACGTGAAGTCCATCACTGTTATTTTGTGAGCAACAGGGTTGCTTCTTATTAATTCATGGTCGGTCAAAATGAAATGGTGAATGACCCCCAAAAAGGCAATTGGTATTCAAATTATTATTTTTCTTTCAGTGGGGCTACCTAAACTGTACACCATTAAAAGATCCAAAGAAGATTAAGGTATGAATCAATATTTATAAAAATTAAATATTCCGGTATCAGGGCAATTCCTGTGGAGATAACTTGGATATATCAACAAAGTTGAAGTGGTAAATTGGCCACCATAACGATTACAAAAGCTGACATTTCGAGTGTTAGCCCTTCGTCAGAGCAAATAGAGGAATTGTGGGTTGTGTGTGCTGTTAAAGGCAGAGAATGGAGATAGGTCACTGGGCAATCATGCAGGGGTTTCATTAAGGGCCAGTGAAAACCAGTTGCCCTCCTGCAGAAAACATTAATGAAACCCCTGATCATGCAATTTATACTGTTGTACTTGAACCACTCACTCAATCACTCACTTGATAAAAGCTGAAAATAATACTTATATTGTTTTCATGAGCAAACATTGTGTAGTGTTGACTTCTGCAACCATGTTTAATTCCTTTATTTTGGGCAGGATAATATTTGGCAGACATTTTGGGTTGATCTGTGTGGATCTACGCTCAGGCTATATAAGGTAAGACCACAATTTTGAAAGTTACATGTAAATGTCTTTATGTATTTTCTCTCCTAATGGAAATCTTAAAATTCCTAATGTTCTTATTCCTTTTTGCCAAAGGATTTGTCTCTGCCGCAAAATTCTGCAGATAGTCTGCCTCCTTCAAGTCTGATTGGGCCTTCTAATGAGGTTATTTTATAACTTCCATCTATTATCTTGATTTTGTTGCATCTGTCTGATTTGCTTTGTATTAACTAGTATTGTATTAATGAAACAATTCATATGGTCAAATGTGCTTATAGAATGAAAAGAAAGAAGCTTTTATTGTCTTGAGGAAGGGAGCAGAAGTTAAAATTATAGAACCTGGATTTGAGGTAAGGCTCTGAAAATTAATCCACATACAAGTACATTTGTATGCATAAATATGTGGTAGTTCAAAGTTTTTCTTGGTTACACAGTTTTTAATCAATTTTATGGGGATTTTCCTTTGTTTGATATTCACTATCACAACAAAAAATAGAAGTCAGATTTTAAGCCATCAAAGAAATTGAAGCATAACACACACAATTCTTCACTTGTCTTATTACTGGTAACAACTAATTATTTGTAAATCTGTGTTATTCAGCTGGAAGTCTTTCTTTGTGCACTTAAACCTTTAACCTCTGAGAGTCACTGGTCTCTTATTTCTCCAAACAGTATCACCCTTGAATCACACATTAAGGTTATGGGAATAAAAGAAATGATCACCAACTAAAGAAGCTCTTGATTGTCAGACAATTCTCCTAATTATTACCTTAGGAAATGTTTAGAGAACAGTATAGAGAATATGCATACTGATAGTCAGGTGCAACACTGACAAAATTAGTTTTTGTTATTGAATTATATTCTGTATCATTCCAGTCACACAAGTCACAAAAGCGAAGATTGACGGTGAATAGAAGACACGTGTTTAAAGTTTCCTTTAACAGCCGAGGGGCGAACTCACCATCCTATGTGTTCCAGGCTCCATCCAAGGGAAGCATGTATCGATGGTAGGGTTAAAGAAATCTTTTTCTCTGAGTAAATTTCCTTACTGTTTTAGTTAAAGATTCTAACCTTTAAGACCCAAAGGCTGACCAGCATCTAAATTGTCCTTACAACAGTAGCATTGAATCATTCAATAAGATCATGAGATTGTCAACCTTTGAAGCTTTGATCATTAAACAGATTCTCCTTATCAGTATCAATGACATGTATAGAGAACAGTAAAGAGAACACATATACCAATGTAAGGGTAGAAAGGGTTAATAAATAAGAAAGTAATCAAAACAAATACAACTTAATTTAAGCTTGAATGATAGAGTAATTAGGCTTTGATGAAGGTGTTCCACATTAGATAATTACTCATGCTTTTGTTTATGACAGGATTAGCAAAATTGAGGAAGGAATTGATATGTCTGACAAACCACAGGTAGTTTGATTTGTAATTATATGCCAGTTCTTTATTTTGTATAATTACCAGGACCAATTTGTACTTAATGTGTTAAAGCCTGTATTTGCAACAATCAATGGCTGGGGTTTACATATCTGTAATTTCAAATGATAATCTGTATTTTATTGTATTTCTCTCTTTCAATTTTGCTTGGATTGACGACCTGTGACTCAGAATGAATCTGCTACAGGTATTTCTTTTGTATGCTGTGATTTTTTTTTCGGAAATGAAGAACAATTTATTGCTCTGCTCTCCATCTGTATATTTGCATGTTTCTAGAATATGATAGCAATGAATGGTGTAGGCATGGAATGATAAAAGTGGGTATTAGCAAACTGTTAGAAAATCCTGACCAAATGCAAAGGGGTATCGTGAAATGGACTAGCATCCCATGGGGAGGCAGAGGTATTCTAGAATGGACTAGCATCTCATTGGGGGGGGGGGCTTAGTATTACAGGAACTTAGGTGAGCCCAAACCAGATGGACCAACAAGTTTTTCAAATGAACTTCACCTTATTTTCTTTACACATGCATGATTCACTCATCTACCAACTAACTGGAAAAATTGTACTGATTTGTTTTACTTTCCGAAATGTTAACATTATACTCATTTTCTGTGCTGTGGCCTCCACTGGAAAATAAGGAATTCAAACAATACTGCTTTCTTTATTCATTAAAAAAAAGCTTTTCATTGTGGGCATTTATCACTGAAGAGTTTTTTGTGATGAGTAAAAGTGTAGTCTTTAAGGTCTATCAAAATTTCTTCTACATCTTAATTTTGAAATCTTTAAATTTCTCATGTTTTCAACAAAAAATTAATAATCATGGCAAGCGTCATTATCATGAATCTTTGAAGGATTACTTTAAGTTATAAACCAGTGTTTTACTCATTAAAGTAGCTAATATTCAAATAATGCTTTGATTGTTCATTTCTGTTCATAGTTGTTTCAGCTCTAACTTCAGCATTAACTTATTTGAGGGGCTTTTCATTTCGTAAGTTAATTTTATAAAAGAGAGAATCTCCGGTATTTAGTGTCTGCCGTTAGAATGCTTTGTCTGCAAGGAACATTTAAATACATTTACTTCAAGCATAAAAAAAATTGTCATTAGACATGGTGAAGGACAAGCTTAATAAGATGACATTTCAATGTTAGTTGAGCCATGTTTCCAAGGTACTTTTACTGTGCAAATTAAAGTAAATTTCATCTGGAATCAGTTGGAATAGCTGAGTAGTATAAAAAGCTGAAAGTTTCATCTTTCATTCAATAACTTAGCTTAATTTTTCTGGAAATAATTTTTCAATTTTTTTTTTTTTTATTATTTGTGTCACTTATTGGTAATAACTGAGCCTTTGTTCTTGGAAGAATGGAATAAAAACATACCCAAATCTTGGCAAAGATGATAACATTGAAATGTCATCTGATAATCTTAAGATTAGTTCTGAATTATCAGAAGCAAGATGGCCATTAGATATAATTTTTGAAGATTCTGTAACAAACCCAAAATATTACATGTATTTTTGCACACTAAACCTTGATAATCAATACTAAAAAGACTTAACATTATCCAGCAGAATTGCAACCAGTTGCACACACTTGCAAACTAACTCATGAAATAAATTCCGTTCTTATAATGTGAACTAATTCAAGAAACATCTATTAACCGAGCACCAGCAATTTTGAGAACTCGCACCATCCATGAACTAATACTACTGTATGTTTTGGTTTTCAAGTGGCCTACTTTCTCAGTATACTTTCCTAATGTATTTTTGTTTTAAATTGTCACTCGTACACGTATCGCACCCAACCTTTGATGGAAACTGCATGAATTTTTTCTCTCACGTACGCCTTATAAACTAAGACTGAATTTTATTATCAAGAAGGCAAAAAAAGAAAAGCCGTTAGGTTACATTTAACGGTGACTGCAGTGATGGTTTTGTGGTTAATGTTTCCATGTCATTTTTTCTCACGCTTTAGACAAAAGACTCAAAGAAGCTAAACTTCTTTCAGTGGAGCAACAGAGATTTCATGTGGCTCCGGAGCTGTAAGTGCACAATAATTTAGATAAAGGAGACCGGGAAAAAACAACAGCTGTTTGCGATTGATGAAAAGTTGCAAAGCTAAACAGGACGTCGTCATATGTGCCCGATCTTTCAAGTTACATCCCACTGTAGTCGTAACAGTCATAAATAATAAAGGATGTCATCGTAATGACCCAATAGTAACTCAAATTATCACCAAGTGAAACGCCATAGTGAGCTCTTACTTCTAATAATTACTTTTTATCAGAAAAAAAGATGAATTTACCTACCTCGCGTTCTGTGATTTGTGCTGTGACGGCCATTTTGAAAATAGGTACGCGTGTGAGATCTGAAACGAGTTACGCGAGGATCTGAAGGTGAGAAATCTTCGGACGCTGTCGGAGCTGCGGGGAACAAAACAAATGACGAGCTGAGTTACTTTGCTAATAGCTCCGAGAGTTTTCCGAAGATTTTTTAAGCGAATCAGAATATCAAATCTGAAAATCGTGTTTTTTGGGTTTTAGGAGGATCCTTGATAGAGACGACATTGATTCTGGCATGGAAGGTAAAACTATTTCTACCAACAGAGTTCACGGATGACTATGTCTTCTTATGAGAAGACGGAGAGAAAGGGGCCGAGCAATTCGGAGAATGAAGCGATTCTCTTTTGCCTATCCTAGCTGACGGTAGAAAGCTGGAGATTTTAAAAAATGAGCTGGCAAATCGCGTTGATAGTGGTTTGCACCTGATGTTCAGAGTCAACAGGTCTTTTTTTGTTGAAGGATTTGATTGTATCGGTTCAATTATAGGAAATATAACTCTTTTTTTCGGTTTTATGAAGGTGATGTAGAAGAAGTTTATGAAACCTCCAAGAAACTTGCGGACAATCCTCGGCTTGAGCTGATGAAGGTAAGCTCACTTACAAAACGTATTACTTGCTGTTATTTGGGACGTTAACGAAACTTAAAAACATGGACTTCCCGTTTTCAAGTCTTCTCGTGTTACAATCCACGCTCACCTTCGTTGTCGTTATACAGCGATTTTCGATTGAATGTTGTAAAACCGAAACCAAAACCAAAATCATCAAGGAAACAGCCAATCAGAAGAAAGGAAAATATTCTTGAGAGCCAATGAGGGCTCAAAGTAAAAACAAGCAAACTTCCCAAAGCGCGGGAAAACGCGGCGGCCACGTCGTGATTGATTTTAGTTTTGCATCTGATTGATTCGGAAAGTGGCGCGGGTTATCTGGACCAATCACAGTACGAAGTGAAGCAAAACCATTGCGATCTTAAATTTGCTCTATTTGGTCACGTGCATAGTGAGAGTAGCAGTGCTTGGTCTTTTTTGATAAAATAATTGTAGCTGAGAAACCATTCATTCCTGTACTGGTTTCTCTTGTTATTATAGAAGCGACTGCAAGACTTGGAAGATCTTGTTCAGCAACTGGAGAAAGAAGAGGAGGCGTTCTTGGGAGGAAATCATTCAATCTGTAAGTTGGAAACCTTAGTTAGCTAAAAACATTTGAATTGGACGAGAATAATCGCGTCACTTCCTAAAGCTATCAGATACAATAGTAAACCCTTCCCACACTACAGGCCAGTTACATTTATTCTCTTTAAGTTTTGATTGGCTCATTGAGTAATAATCTAGATCATAATTGACTGTTGTGATAATCTCGGTTTTGGTTTTACGATACTGAATGGAAAAGCACCCGAAGAGAACTACAGTCATATATATATATATTTTTTCATTTGCAGTGGCGAGGAGGTGCGAGTTTCAGTCAACAACAAACAAGGACTATTTTCTCATACCAGGCCATTCTCGGACACTGATTCCCAAAGGAACAGAACTTACAATACTAGGTCAGCTTCCAAACAATCGCTGGCGATGTTTTGTGAAGCTCCCACGAAGTAAGTCTGCGGGACTTGCAAACGGACAACACTTGGAATCATCTTCAGAAGTCGAGAGTATTTCTTCATTTGAAACCGCCGATGATGAAGATGTTACGAACACTGGGGCGAACACGGACACTTTAATTGGAAGCGTTCCGAACAGTCTACTTAACGATTTGATTCATTTGGTTCCGTGTAAACTAAAATGTGAAGACGGGACACCCGTAGCTTCCCCGGGGGTTACCCCTCAATTATCCCCCATCCCATCTCCTCCTCAGTCCCCTTATTCCCCCCATAGAAACAATCGGGACTCGTCCCCTAGTAAGCGAAGTTCCTTGCGTAGGTCTATAGCGAGTGAAAATCTTAGTGAACAGGATATATGGGAACAGTTTTGTATTCCGTCCCCTCCCTCGTCGCCTGTTACGTCACGATCAACCTCCCCCTCCTTGTCTCTCTCTTGTTCTCCGGGTGGATCACTAGAGGATCTGGATTTTGTTGACAAGGAAAACTGCGAGACTGTAAAGCCCATGAAAAATAGAGAACATTCTGAAGTAATTCTCAGACGAGGGAGAGAGAAAGATGACAGAGATTTCTCAAAACTGAAAAGTCATAGAGAAGCTACTTTTATGATCGACGACATTCCAGAGACTTACATTGGAAGCGATTCAGAAGATGACAAAATGGTGACAGTGATTGATGAGGTGCCACCTCATGAGGTATTGGCTTCTGAGAACGTTCAACAAGAACCAGTCAAAATGCGAGTTAAAAAGGACCAATCGCATCGCGATTCTGGTAGGTGTGACATGCGCAGTTAACAACACGTTAGCGTATTGAACGGTACCACGTGGATGTGTTTCCCAGTAGCTTTCATCAGAGTGATCACACATCTAGGTGTCGTCTTAAAACCTTCAACACTCTGACATCAGTATGCATATTCTCCATACTGTTCTTGATAGGTTTCCTAAAATGCTGACAAGGAGAATTTGTTTAACATCAATAGCATTTTTAGTTGGTGATCATTTGCTTTATTCTTGTGACCTTAATATGTGATTGAGGTGTGATTTTTAAGGAGAACTTAAAGATGTTAGTCATTCTCAATGGTCAAAGGGTTGAAAATTGGAACCACTTTAAACATTAGGAACAATACCAACTGAAATTCTGGCAAGTAGCTATTATATGATTGGTCAAACTTGAAGGTCTTATATACCAACTGTCGAGTTGAAATCACCTTGCGCTAGTGCATGTTTTTTTCTGTGAACGTTTTGTTCTGTTCTAAGACACATTTACCTTCAAACTGTAGATAGTAAATCAATTGCTGCTCTTCAACCAAACTATGCCTTTTTGGTCACAAAGAAGTTACGACAGCGAGGGATAAGCTTAATTGTGGGATCTTCCAGTTCAGGTGAGAGTAACGAGCTGTATTTCTAGACGACGATTCGATGTCTCTCTAGTAAACTTTTACTCACGGACAATGAGAGCTTTTCGACTCAGTATCGTAAAACCAGAACCAAAGAAATCATAATGGCCAATCAGAAGAAATAAAAATACCTTAAAGAACCAATGAGAACTCTGAGTAAAAACAACCAAATTGCCAAAAGCGCGGGCAGCCAAGTCGTGATTGATTTTAGTTTTGCACCTGATTGGTTAAGAAAGTGGCGCGAGGTATCTGGACCAATCACAGAGCGAAGTGAAGCAAAACCAATGCAATCCGGGATTACTTTTGATACTTGATTGTAAAATTTCTCTATAACTCAGTCGTGTTATACAGCGTGATAAACTTTACCACTCAAAAGTATCGCCTCCTGGACTTAATTTTAATCACATAATCTTAGTTTTTAACGAAAAATAAGCTGAACTGTGGATTTTTGTGGCCCTGAGGATCCTCGTGCGCTCTGTTGTCAAGCAAACTCTTCTATTTTCTTCGTCATTGAGTGTTAATACATTTTGAACTGTCTTATTCTTTACGTTTTATTCACAGAAGATGAAAACGATGACGACAAAGGTAAACTGATTCAATTCTTACGAGCGTGTCTATTTTGGAGATAGCGAGTCTGTATTTTTAATCAATTTTTCTTTTCTTACAGATAAAGAACTTCCTTCAAGGCTATCACAAAGGTTGGGAAACGTTCTTTTCAGGTCTTACAAGCGGGCTATTAACAGATTCCTACAAATTCTACGTTTCCTGTGTTTCAATATCGTTTTGAAAGGGGAGAATTTTATTCCTTCATAATGCAATTTTTTCAATTTTGCAGGCGTCTGGACAAAGAATTCCTACGGTTTGGAAGCGAAGGAACAGAACAGGGTACCCTTACTTCTTGTTGTTATCTTCTGTTTTTATAAGTTCTTCTAAGAAAGGTGGATCTTCCGACCGACTTCTTGTCCGCGCGACAACTTTGTGAGTTACTTGGTTTCTAAGGGTTATTGTTGTTTCGTTTACTTTTCCAGGTGTTCGGCCATACTCTGGATTTGTCTCGAGAAAACAAGTTGGAATTACCCTAAGTACAGAGTTAGTGTCATTTAATATTGTTCAATTGATAGTTACCTCGAGTGAAAAGTCACTCACCTATTTCATTTCCCTACCATGGTGTGGTGGAAAACATAGGAAAGCTGAATATTCGCCAAGGGTCGTAACCTATATGAAGCGCGGAAAATTCCAGTTTCTACTTAGTCTCGCCCTCAGAACAGAAAAATCCTTTAAAAGCCTTCTTTCATGGCAGTTAGAACAATTCAAAAGAAGAGTTTCTCTACTTTTTCATAACCTGCGTTGAATTTGCATTTCCGCTTTTGTTGGTCGTTTAATACAGTTGCGTGGATTCCTTTTTAGGGTTCAAAACTTTGTTCCTCGCACGTCCACGAGGAACGAGCTTCTCCGAGACTACTCGTCACCTTCCGACACGCCTCCGACGATAGTTCGCGCAAACACGCTCACCACCATTGAGAAATTGGGAGACTGGAGGTTAGTTTTACAACGTCACGGGACAATCCTGTATACTTCACGTCAAACTTACGTGCCCGTTTTGATCTGTTTACATCTCGAATTTTATCATTTCTGTTTTACAGTTCGACAGAGAATGCTCCGCCTATCAATCAACGTCGAACTCTTCAACTGAGCAAAGCGAGTTCAGCAGGATTTGGTTTCACTCTGCAGGTATCTGAAAGTGGAGGGGAGTCTGAGGCAGTGCCACTGCCCCTTTGGGATGAGTCCTGTACATGCCTACATGTCGTGAGAGTTTTTTTTAGTGATATTAAATTCCCATGGATATCTATCGCGATTAGTTCATCTGCAAGAATACAAAACAATTATCCGCAGGTCGAGCGACAGACAGCAAAGTCAAATACAACATTTAGGGCGCAACTAGTTTTAGTGTTAGCCTCACTCACATCTCAATGGGAAAAAGACGGAAGACACCTACATGTTTTACATGCGTGTTGCGGACCATTTTGCTGTTGTTTTCCATAGACGTACGGTATCGTTCAGCAAGCAGGTCAAGTGGAGCACATGACTTTTATTCTCAAAGTTGAAGAGGATGGACCGGCGTACATGGCGGGACTCAGACCAGGTGAGCCATTATGAAACATGCTTTTTATTTTACATTTCCTTCGAGCACATTTCGATTTACCAACCCAAGTCTTAATCAATTTAAACCTGAGGAGTGACCAGCCTCTTCAACTGAGGCTGGTCACTCCTCATGCTGCTGAATCATTCATTACGATCATGAAAGGAAAGAAAATGATCACCAACCCATGAATCTCTGATTGTTAGAGAAATTCTTCCAGTCAGTACCAAAGGTAATGTAGAGAGAAAAGTATGAAGAACATGGAGGCTGATGCTGGGGTTTAAAAAGTGAACCCTGAAGTGTCACGAGTAATCAGTAACCGTTGGAGACTGGTTTTAGTTTTGCGTCTGGTTGGTGGACAGGATCGCCGATGCTTTCCTGATCAGTCACAGCGCGAAGTAAAGCAAAACAAAAAAACTTAAAACCTTCGCAATCCGAGATTTCTCTACGTAAAACTGAAAATTGATTTTCTAGCCCTCTTTTTTCTATTTTCCCTTCCTTCCTTCCTTCCTTCCTTCCTTCCTTTCTTTCTTTCTTTCTTCTCTCCCGTTCACTTGTTTGAATTGTTTAATTTTTTTACTGATTTACAGGAGATATCATTCTTGAAGTTGACGGCGAAAATGTGGAGGAAGAGGATCATAAGGCAGTGGTCGCACGGATTCACCAAGCTTCTATATCAGTCAGGTAATAACACGTGTAATGACGTGCTGTGTGCGTGTTTCGCGCGTGCAGTGTGTGAGAATTGCGGTACACGTAAGCGGTACTGTAGTTTGACGTTCAAACTATCTCTACGTCACCATGTAATCATTACATGGTTCCGGCAGTAGATAAGCGCTATGGTTGAAGAAATTGTCAGGTGGGGGAGACTTTCCTAAGAAGGCACTGTTATCACAAGGAAAATGGATTGAAAGTGTACTGAAGAGCCCGGTGGGGATGGAGGAGGAGAAAAATAAAAGAGTTGATGGCATTTATAAAATTCCTAAATCGCTCTTTTTGATTAAGAAAAAAAAGAAGCTGTCATGGGTTTATTTCCTGTCTTGAATTCAATTTGTAGATTGGTGGTAGTATTTGTAGATGCACTTCGAAGAATGAAGTTGAACACGAGGTTAAAGTTACTCCAGGTTTGTACCTGTTGTACTTGTAGTTAATCCTCATCGTTAGTCGTCCTGTTTTGGAAAATCTTTTTCTTTTTATCTCTCTATCTTTTTTTTTTTTTTTTCATTACCCCTCCGCCATTTTCCAAGCTTCCTTCACCCTGTCTTTCTTTTCTTTCCTTCTTCTTAGCTTGTTTTGTCTCCCTTAATTTTGGTTTGTTGGATATCAGTCCCCATTCTGAGAAAAACGGGCCATTTAAATGCAAAGAATGCTGCAAGGAGAGATTTAGAGAAAAAGATCTTATCCACCAACAGTAGTTATGAAAACATGTTCATGTCTTGACCTTCAAACGTTGTCAAAGTCAAAAAATGTTGAACAATTTAGCTTGGAAATTCGCCACCCTCGCCTTCGTAGGATATTCTTCCTACTTCCTTTACCTTCCCATATATTGAGGGGTCTTCTTATAATCAAAACAGGCTCAATTGGCGGACAAGGAATTCTTATTTCAAGAGTTGTGTAAGAGAGAGGAGCAAATACTCCAAGGTTTGTAATGACCAAGAACTGAGTCATTTCTACTTACATTGTTGATGTAATATCAAGTAAACAGGTGTTGAGAATAACGAAAAACGTCACCTCCAAATTCTCAGAACTTACATTAAAAGAAGTGTATGGCCGACAGTAAGGGGGATAACTAGTAAGGTACTGGGAACTAGGAGTAACACGGTTAAGGGAAATAAAGAGAGAATCAGCCGAGGAGGACTGGCAACCAATAGTTACGCCTTACGCTAGGAGGACTCTCTAGCTATTTTTAGATTACAGTTCGAAGCAGAAAATCCGGAGGGTCATGAAAAACCCCTTTTTGATGTTATTAGCAGTGACTGTAGCCAGAATAGACGAACATAGATATTTACACATTCTGCAACTGTTCATAAAGGGGGTCAGTTTCTAAAGAAACTGTGGTGATGTGTCTGTAGGGGTTATTACAAGATAATTTGGTTTATCATTTCGGTTGATAGTGTTAATTGGTCACCGTAAAGAGTTTTTAAAGCTGACGTCTCGGGCGTTAGCCCTTCGTCAGGGCGAAAAAAATTTGATGTGGAGTAAATTTTTAGGTATTCATTACTGTTTACTTTTGCCTCAACAGGGAAAGGAATTTCCTCCTCAGAGATGTCTTTACCGGATTTACCTCAAGAGAGAACAAATTCTTATCTTTATACAACAGAATTAACCAGTTGTTTTAGTAAACAATCACCAAACGTTCACGACAGCATTTTACAGCAAGCTTTAAACAACAAAGAACCTCGTCGTAGGTCTCTGCCAGACCAAGTTGAACTGGGAAAACAACGAATTACTGCGACCACTGGATCTGAAATGTTAAAAAAGTTTTCTTCTCCTGATCTGAGCGCACAGCGGCGCAAACCAATCAGTGCTAAGCTGATAAAAGGTTTCCGTAAGAAAAAACCATCAGAAGAAAGCTTTAAGTCGTACTTGGAACTCGATTTGGACACTGAGAATCCTGATAAAGAGGAGGAAACCGAAGTTTTTGAGCCAGCGGTGACCACCGCTGAAGCGTTAGCTGTGGCAGCGTCAGACGAACCCAGGACTTTAGAACGAGAAACTCCAATGACAAGCGATTTTATTCCTTTAGACGAAAACCCAAAGTTGAGTTCTCTTTTACGTAGCAACAGTGAGCAGAACAGTTCTCCTACTCTCTACAAGGAGTTTTCGGAAAATCCTGATGTGTCAAACAAAGATCGAATTGCACCAGGAATAGCTCAGATGAAGAAACGGTTCGAAAAATCCTCGTCATCGAAAACGTTACCGACAAAGTCTCCCAAGCCGGTGCAGGTGAAATCGAATGGAAGCACTCTTGACTAATGCTCTCCGAATGGCGGAATTTCAGCAATCTGGCTCGTCAGCTCGCCCTGAATCCCATTTATTAGCCATGAACTCAACCGGGGACAAACTCCTTCTTCCCAAAGACAGAAAAATTAACTTGAAATAAGAGGTGAATTTAGGCATCATTTACACGTGTCTTTTTGCACCTCCCCTGCCGGATAAGGAGGCTTGAGTCGGAATGCTGCCATGGGGAAAACAATTTGATCACTGAGGAAGGTGGATTTGAGTGCATGAAATTCTTCATGTTCACACATGAGGAACGTATCGTGAAATTAAAAGTCCCGACGAGTATCAAGTTGCCTTATCCCTTACATCTCTCTTCACTCCGCTCCCCTGTACAGAAATCCGAGGTTCGGCGGGTGGGAGTCGTTAAGCCAATGAGCCGCTTTACACAAAGCACGAAGGCTCATGCTAGAAAGTCACCAGAACAGTTTACTTTTCGTTAAGCCTATCTACAGATGAGAATTTGAATTGACAGAAGTTTTTGAGAGTGAAATTTTGTTATTTCGTATCGCAATCAAGAGAATCAACAAAAATGAATTTAAATAACGTGCAAGTGCAATAAGATGTAATCAAATCGCAATTTAATTACAACCATAAGAAAAGCATTGAATTAATTCACCTTCAGATAGATTATTCAGAACGACAGATATTTGCAATAAAAATAATTGAGTGGATGATTTGAAATGGGATATCACCGTTCCTATATGAAACATTAAAAACGTTCGTGGCTCATAACCTCGTTCATAAAAAAATGTAGTAAATTCACTTTTGTTGTTTTGTAGGGTAGGGCTAAGAAATATTCACTGTTCAAGATGCAAATGCACTGCCATTCTTCTTCTCATCAGTTGTCTTTTGTCTCGCTATCTTCTCGTTCTGTTCTGTTTCCGTCGCACAGGCCAACAGGGATCCAAAAAGCAAACTAAGTTTGCAAATGAAATGGGGACGCGGTGAAACAAAAGATTTATTAAGCAGAGTTATTATATGGCTGTGTCTCACAAGGACTGGGAACTACCGAATTCACGAATTTGATTGGCTGAAATCAATATTGAAAGCGGTCTAGATTTTCCCATCTAGACCGGTATATAGACCGGTCTAGAAAAAAAAAAAAAGTACAAAGAATATAAAAAATTAGCATGTATGACACAGCCACATAATAAACATCTTATCAACCGAGCTAGGTCGGTCTGTATGCGAGAATCTTGACCTCGGTCGCTGGTACAGACCCTACCGTGTCTGGTCTGTACTGGCGACCTCGGTCAAGATTCTCCCATACAGACCTCCCGCTCGGTTAATAAGAACTAAGAACTACTTCGCACGTGCGCTTAGAAACTTTGTACATTTCCATGCCGTTTACTCGATGTTTTTCTTGGCGTCGTTGGCGAGACAGCTTATCAACACTCGTTCAATGTTTAACTTGCTTTTATCCTGAGAGATTTAATATAACGTTTACAGAACTGTCAATGTGTACATCCACCTACTTTATAAATATATGGCTCTTTTTAATTGACAACATTTTACGCTTTATAAGAATTCGTCAAAGCTAACTCAACGACTGAAAATGATGTGGCGTCAGTTCAGTTCTAAAACACCTTCAGCGCCTCAACCTCATTTGCGTTTTTTTTATCAACGGGTACTCAACTAAATTGAGTTGATTTTCATCGAAAATATCTTCATAAAAACAAGGCTAACGGTAAATGCCTTTTCCGAATCTCACAGTTAGTGGTCAAAAACATCCGATTCGCTGAAGCTGGTTGCCAAGACTTCGACACTATCGGGTTTTTCCGAAGGAACATTGATATCCGACAAAGCAGCTCGTGGTGATTCGAAAGAAACCGTTTCGTGTATGTGTTGAAGTTCAGTATGCTCTTTAGTAGACTTAAATCCCGGGATTTTAAAGTGGCCAAGACTGTGAGCTTTCTTATGTGACTTTGCCGTTTGCGATGCTGTCTGGTCTGAAGAAGAACCCCCTTTCCTTGAATTGATTTGGACTTCAATTTCTTCGGCATCAACTCCTCCGTTTTCTTTCGGAAAGGCTGTATCACCGTAGCTTGTTATGTTCATCCCACTTGTTGACAAGGCCAAAATCTTTTCAGTCACTAAAACAAGGAAACAACAAAAAGAATTTACAAAAACTGGACAGTTTTTGAACTTACCCCGCGAAACAAGTATTCGCTTATTTTGTATTGGGGAATCACAGATATAAGCAAAATAGTAAATTTATTGCACGGCGTTGAAAACTAGAGCCCTAGCAGGCTGTCATTTGCAAGTGCCTTTTGGCGGGAAAAGGTTCGATGTAGCCCATTCCCGTTCAAAATTCTTAAAGGCCCGAAGGAGAAGAAAAAGCAAACTACAAAAAGGACTCCTCCAAGCTCACTGGTCGAGTCTATGAAGACAAAGTCTCGATCTTTAACTTGGGAATTGCTGTAAGCGTTGATCACTTTTGACAAGCTTATTCCGAAATCTACAGCGAATTCGCAAGCGATGGAGCTCTAAATTTTTATAATCGTTCTTACGGAATTTCCCTGTTACCTTTAAAATATCAGACTTCTTTTTTATTCTAATTAATAACACTATCCGTTGCAAGGGGAAAGTTTTGAAGAACAAGAAAATGAATGAAAGTTCAAAGAGCAGCTTGATTTGCACCTGATTGGTTTAACATGAGCGTCTTACCTCGGTTTGGCTGAGAGCGCCACACGTCCTACCTTTAATCTTACGAGTGGTAATTTGTTGGTAAACCTGTGCGGGACGTTGTTTGTTTTATCTTATGAGTGGTAACTTGTTGGTAAACCTGTGCGGGACGTTTTTTGTTTTTCGAAAGCAAAGAAGACGTTTGGACGTAGTTTACACATGCTTAAGTCCTTGGATACACCTCTTTAGGGAGTTTTGTTCTTTAAAGCTTTCTGAAGCATAATTTTCAGCGCTAAATATGACAAAGCGTGCTTAAAGCTTTTACTATTTGCATGTATTTTATCAGATAAATATTACTCTTACTTTTAACATTGATTTAATACAGACAGGTTGCGCAAGTCATTAATTTATTGGCATCACTGAGAATTACACGACATTTTACAAAGCATCAACACAAATTATTAACACACGATACAAACAATCCACATTGACAGTGATTTCAAGTCTCAATTTCACTCGCCTTGAGAAAATGAGACAGTAGCTACACTTAACAGTTTAGACAGAATTACATTTATCTTGACTATTTCATAATTAACAATTAGATTACAATCTTGAAATTTTGGGTTAACTGACCACCTACCCCCTCCTCACTCAGATTAATGTGTATCGGCACCCCTCCCCTAACCCAACTATGGTCAACTGATAACAAGTTAGAGTTGATGTTGGGTTAGGGGAGGGGTAGGTACAGAGTTACCCAGTTACACACTTTGATCCAAGATTTCTATTTAATCATTAGAGTGTTTCTGTCGAGGAACTATCGGCTGATAGTTGCCCCGCGGACATTTGATGTTCTTAAAACAAATATGCTAGTTTTAAGAACATCAAATTTCCAAGGGGTAACTATCAGACCGATAGTTCCGAGACATAAACACTCTATTGCTTTTATTGTTCACCACTAAATTTTCTTCCGCGCCTACAGCTTGTCACAAATGTCAATAATTCGCAACCGTACATTGGCTAAATGATACGTTATACCTGTCAGAATTGAAAAGTCACTGCTTTTCCGATATGCCTAACTTCGCGACCGTCAAACTATTCAAAACTTTTCACGGATGAGTACTATCAATCCAGGTATTTTCCGCGGACGGGCACTATCCATCCGGGTATTTTCCGCGGGCGGGCACTATGGGCTGATAGGGACTCTCCACGGATGAACACTATTCCGTCGCGTGATCAATTTAAACCAATAAGAACCGGAGAAAATTTAGTGGTGAACTATAATGTGCCATAGTCAATGAGGGCAATGTCCCCATCAACTTTCATGCACAAAAATAATGTTTTTGTTCTTGGCATGCATCTATTTGTCGTTAAAAATTTCATAACAAGACACGCTCCTGTTTTTATTTTTTTTGAGTAAAGCTACTTGTTTTACTCACTGCCTACTAAGGAATAGATAGCGAGTTAGTGTAGCCAATCAGATTGGTAAGGCTAATTGCGCTCTCTACTGCGAGGATCGTGCATCATACGTATCTATAACCGCAGTTCAAAATATATGAACTTCATATATTCATCGTATCTGATTTATCATCACGGGTTTCTTACGAATCAACTTAATGGCCTGCTCCCAGTTGGCTTGTTAGCTCAATTGGTAGAGCGCTGCACTAGTATCGCAGAGGTCAGTGGTTCGAATCCCGTACAGGCCTGATTTTTTTCAGGTCTGATTATTGCTATCGCATAAATAGCGCTCTCTACTGCGAGGATCGTGCATCATACGTGCCAATCAGATTGCAACATTTGTGTAATAAGACATCAGTAGATTTACACAAATACAAAATAGACTAAAATTAAACAAGATTCTATTACATTTACTCTTCGCCAAATGTATTTACAAATGATAATAGCAAGGACTTAATATTGTCTATTTTCAGCAACTTTCGATAAAGCTTTATTATTGCTCAAAGTATTGAAATCTAAGTTGCAAGGATGCAAGAACACAAACCTCACTAAATACCACAAAAAATAAACTAGTTTTCAATCCTACTACACATTTATGTATAAATATATATTTAGCCTTACCCTTCTCACACTGCATTACATACACATTTTATTTACAGAAAAAACATATAAAGGCTTACTTGTTTAATTTATTAAAGATTTTTATCATTGCATTGCAGTTTATCAAATTTACCGTTACAGTTGTACCATTGACTGTTGCTTACTCAATTAAAATAAATACTTATATTGTTAAGTTTGACCCCTTGATTCAAGCAAAAACACCTCAAAACTGTACCATCAAATACAGGCATAGAGAAATATATATCTTATCAATTTTGAGTCTTAAATTATATTTCATGAGAACATATCAAGTGACTATAATTTCATTTTAAAAGAAAAGAATGGTCCCTTTAGACTATCTGTACTAAGCTAAATGTTGTAAATGCTGAACTGAAACACTCCTAGCCACAAGCAAAGGTGTTACTGATTGGTCATGAGCAAAAAGAATAAAATAATGAGTCTTCCACAACAATGTAAACCCCTGATTTTTGGATTTTGTGGTCTGGCACTTTGCTACGAGTTATAGAAAACTAAGCAGTTGGTGAGTCGGTTATTTAGCAAGATGATTGGTGAAAAGCATTCCGCTGAGCAGTATAAAAGGGGTTTGTGTGTGTAGATCTTACATATTTTTATATTTAACAAAGGAGTGCAAGATTTACCAATTTTGTTTTATATATTCAACATCTCTGCATTTGAAATTTTCTCCACCTATAATTTCCAATTCAATCAAAAACTATACCAGGTAGAGTTGTATTAAAATTACAGAAGATGTAACTGAATATGAAATAAAGGGGAAACATTTTTAAAGATTGAAACTGTGGTGTTATGTTGTTTGGAGCATTGCAAGATAATTTGACTATATAAATCAGTTGATTATGTAAATTGGCCCCTCTAAAACGTTTCTGAACATGAGGTTTTGAGCATTACTCCGTTGTCAGAAAATAAAATGATCTGTTGAGCTGTGTGTGTTAAAAGAAACACCAATTCATAGCCAAGTGTTAAGGTACTTGACATTGGAATTATCAACTGAATCAACAGTATCAGTATACACATCACTAGCGTTATCAACCTCATCACCACCAATAGTTTCCAGACAAGACTCATACGACTCCCCATCAGAGTAAAATATACCTGGTGCCTCCATTATAGTGCCACTGACTGATGGCACAGTCTTACTACTGATATGTTGGTTGTCCTGTGTGTCTGTCAGGTACATTTCCAGCCCCAAGGGACCATCCCTCGGGAGGCCTCCAGTTTGTTCCAAAGAATGTTTGATGGCATTGGTGAGCTAAAACCATTAAGTGAATACCAAAACTGAGTGAGAAAATTTTAATCCAACGTAGAAATTGATGAAGATTAATGAACTTTCAGGTACAAAAAAATAAAATAAAAAACTGTACAAATTACAGATATAAAAAGTCCTTACTATATGAGCTGGGGCAAACAAGCTGTGTGTAGCCCGCCAGTGAAGATCTTCCAGAGCCTTGGTGGCCAGAGTTCTTTGACCATTGTACCTGTATATTAAAATTAACATCATTGCTGTGTTATGAAAAATGTCACCATGTTAAGGTTTCCAATTTTTGACAGAGAAGTACAAGAACTGCCGATGCACAGCATAATAACATACATATCTGTAGAAATTCCAACTCTCCCTGGGTTTAAATTTAAGTTTTCCAAACCAGTTGTATTTTTCATTTTCCTTTTGGACCTGAATGCAGGCATTAAAAAAGCAGTACCCTTGAAAAATCCTAGCATCAGTATGCATATTCTCCATACTGTTCTTTATACATTCCCTTAGGTGCTAACAAGGAGAATTTGTTTAACAATCAAGAGTTTCTTTGGTTGGTAATCATTTCCTTTATTCTCATGACCTCAATATGTGATTCAGGGGTGATATTGTAAGGAGATATTACATGCTGGTCACTTACATCAGGAAATAAATCCCATATATCATCTCCTGAATTAGTTCTGTGCTAAGTGATATTCTGGGATGGTTTACCAGTCTTGATAATTCTTCACTTGAAAACGCTGACCCTGATTCCTCTTTTGCCCGCTGACAGAGTTTGTAAAAGCCACATTTAGCCAGTCTAGATAACATGTTATGATTAAAAAAATAAAACATCAATTCTTTGTAAATTTTCACTAAGATTAAGATAAGATAAGATAAGAACTTTATTTCCATGTCAAAATCTCTAGCGTACCACGTACACTAATTGGGGACACCTAATTACCTCAGGTCTAAGGTCTAGTAACATTATAGACATCAAAAACTTACATTTATGCTAAAATTAATGACACACTGAGAGTATCACCTGGTAGTTAATACACTTAACACCAGGGTAACATAATTGTCTTTATGTATGATGCACGATCCTCGCAGTAGAGAGTGCTATTTATGCAATAGCAAAAATCAGACCTGAAAAAAGTCAGGCCTGTATGGGATTTGAACCACTGACCTCTGCGATACTAGTGCAGCGCTCTACCAATTGAGCTAACAAGCCAACTGGGAGCAGGCCATTAAGTTGATTCGTAATAAACCCGTGATCATCACGGGTTTATTACGAATCAACTTAATGGCCTGCTCCCAGTTGGCTTGTTAGCTCAATTGGTAGAGCGCTACACTAGTATCGCAGAGGTCAGTGGTTCAAATCCCATACAGGCCTGATTTTTTTCAGGTCTGATTTTCGCTATTGCATAAATAGCACTCTCTACTGCGAGGATCGTGCATCATATGTATCTATAACCGCAGTTCAAAATATATGAACTTCATAATTATATTCATCGTATAATTGTCTTTGTTGAAACTTTTCCTTTTTGTTTTTGCTTCTTCTTGTTTTTGCATCCATGTAGCTTTTGTTAACTAGTCTTATAAATATTGTGTGCTTCTTGTGTACTATCATATCTTAGGTCTTGGCTTAGTCAATTATTTTTGGTTAGTTCTGCTTAAGTTCCAGTTTGTTGAAATCTAGTTTATTGTGAGCGTGTTTCTGTTGTAAATGTCTTTTTCCACTTCACTTTGTTTCACTTTGGTTTCCTACAGTCCATGAAATAAATTAGGCACATAAAGACTTGTGTGACTGCACTGAGTGTTTAATTAATTCAAGTAAAAGTGTTTGCAATTTAAAATTTTCCCACCTTTTTGTTTTCTGAACATATTTTCAAATCTAAGATAAGATTGAAGATGTAAGTACCATATAAGTTCTTCTCCAACTAAATATACTTTCTGGCACAACAGTTTTAAAAATGAAGGGGAAAACTATACCTCAAAGCCATGATACAAAAGCTGCAATGAGAGGCATCTGACAAATAGACAATGTTTGCATTATACTGATGAAGAATCACACTCAGTACAGAAAGCCTGAAAAGGAAGAGATTTATTAGAGATGCAAAATAAATAATGAGCTCTTATGACAAAGGGCAATGTGACCACACACTATTGCTACACCTTTTAATTGCCTTGGTTAAAAGTATATTATAGCAGGTGATGCTTAGACAGCAATCTACTGTTTTCCTCTTTAATGCCCGGGGCAGACCACAAATTATCAATTTGAATGAACATACTGTTGTTGGACGTAATCCACATCAGAGTCTACCTTTCTTTAACCTATTGACGTCCAGTGCGCCCATATGCGCCCATGGGGACCCACACCCTTTCTACACCTTGTGACGTCGTCACTTTTAACCCTGGAGCACGAATTTGAGCACGTACTTGAACAGGTTGAAAATATCTTACAGACGATACCTGAACGAGCGCAATTGAGTGAAGGAGATTGGAGAAATAGCCAAAAGACCATGTCACTCTGACCTGAAAATCTGCACGAAAATCGTGTTTCATTACCCACCTACCTTTCCGAGCATGTGCTTTGAAAATAATGAGTCGTTTCTGAAAAATCTCTACACCAAAATGAAGCCTACTCAATTTCCAGCAAGTGAGGAGAAACTTCAGGCAAGGAGAGGGAAAAAAAAGGGCAGGAGAAAGAGAGAAAAGTAAAAGTCGTAAGTGGGGCATGACTTTTCAACCCAAAAACTATGTCGAAATTTTGCGCTCTGCGCGTGCCCGAGATTTTCAGGCCGCCATTTTGCATTTGGATCGAAAGGCCGTCGAGTGCACAAGCTGTCAAGGGGTTTTTGGTAAGTTTGAGCTTTTAAAACCACAACAGTGACCCGAAATCTGCTCAACTAGCTTCAAAACACAGTTTTCCACAAAAGCTGCGGCCACTAATGGGTTAACAAATGGTAAACACCACAGCGTACACTATTGAGTTATGGCTGCATGTGGGAGGTTGCTATGCACTAAAGAAGCGTAAGAGTCGCATGAGGCAATAGCCAAGAGTCACTCTAGCTTCTTGAGTGCTTAGCGAACCTCCCAAGTGCATCCATAACTCAATAGTGTACGCTGTGGTGTTTACCATTTGTTTTATAACATAACATTGATACATTGTAGCTAATATAGAGTTCCATTTTATTCAACAAATCTTACGTGACCAGAAAAAATAGGCATGCGCGGAAAAATAGTCTTTGCATTTGCTCACGTCAGCAGCGTACACCCATGGGCAAATGGGGGACACTAAATTGACCAATCAGAGTACGCGCTTTACTTTGGTTATGTTATAATAACCCATTGACCCCTCAGAGTGACTAACCATCTAAATTCTTCTTACAACATCACCCCTGAGTCTACCCTGCGAGCAGAGCCTTTTCTTCTTTTCTTCTTCTTAATCCTCCAAGGGAAAAGGCTCTGCTGACATCCTGTTGTTGCTTTGAAATGCTGAAAGCCCAAACCTCCCGGCTACTCAAGCCGGTTTTGCCTCCAGTCAAATCAGTTTTGGTGTGCATGCCTTTGTTTTTCATGTACACAGATAACCAAATCTGCACCCACAATAGTTCAAGGGGGCCTGGAAAAGGATTAGTGTCTAGGCAACCACCACGCATGTTCAAACGAGCAACAACAGGATGTCAACAGAGCCTTTTTCCATTTTCAATTCAAGGATGGGTTAAAAAGGCTCTCCTCGCAGGGTACCCTGAATCAAACATCAAGGTCACAGGAATAAAGGAAATGATCACCAACTGAAGAAGCTCTTGATTGTTAAACAAATTCTCCTTGTCAGCACCTTAGGAAATGCTTAGAGAGCAGTATGGAGAATATATAAACCGATGTTAAGGTGTAAAGGCTTAACGGTTTTTCCCCTTTAAAAAAAAAAACAACAGCAATAAAAACAAGTAGAAAACAGTGCCACATGATGTTTATCACCTTATTAAATTGAAAATAAGAACAATCATAACCCTAACCTATGTGTAGCTGTGATTTTATTTTGTGGTTTTCCTGGACCTGGTAATATCACAATTGTTTCACTCTGTTCATGTCGGCTCAGAGCTGTCTCAGTCAGTGTCGAAGATGCTGTAAAGCTCTGCTGGGGCTTGATACAGAAACTCAAATAAGTAAACATCTGCAACATTTAAGTTAGTTTTACTGTAAAATAAGAAACTTCTAAATAAATAAAGTTTCAACTTCTGTTGCAGTTTGCTCTAATTGTGGATTCTAAAGAAGTATTAAAAACAAATATTTTTTAGTAAAGTATCCATTTAATCCTTTTACTTCCAGGAGCAACCGATAAGTTATTCCTCCTTACAACATCAATACATTTTCAAGCAGGAAGGTAATAGGAAGAAAGAAAAAAGGCTGTTAATCAAACTCTACCTCGTGGTAAATTGAAGGCCTTGAAAGTGATGGCAGTCTAAACTTCTTAACATTCTGCTCTCCATCATCATTAACAACTTCCTGTAGTTATTATCATAATAATAAAGGGTAAAGAGGAGAAGACAGTTTAAAGTGATAAATCATTATCATCTTAATCAAAAACCTATAGAGACAAAAGAACAAGAAACACCAAAACCACTAGTTATAATAATAATAATAATAATAATAATAATAATAACAGAAGTTGCAAGAACATTTAAACTGGTTACAGTGTAAGAATTTTAAGGACATTATGATTTGGTTTTTATGAACAGGATTTTATGAACATTTTAAGTTAAGGATATTTTAAGAACCGAACAGTAAATCATGAACATTTAAAAAAAACATCTTAGTATTGGGCTAATTGACACTTTTATTGTTTTATATTGATCATTTATATTTAAGTAGTATTAGATATTATTATAGTTAACAGTCCTGTCACGCAGATAGGCTACGAATTTTTGCCCTATCTTGATTAGCTCACTAGCATCCAAACGTGTATACTGCATAATAATAATTTGTTTTGCATTAATAGTTTTGCACAAATTCACAACACCTTCCTAGATGGGTACACCTGTTTTGGTTTAAAATTAACATTTCAGTCTATTCCCTGATAATAATTATACTAAAGCAATAACAACAACAACAACCATTACATATCATCAGTATTTAAATAGAATTTGATATTTTTGTTGTACTTACATCATTATAAAGAGCCAACAACAGAACCTCTAGACTGCCATAAGCCTTAGAATAAACAAGAGTACCATTGTTTTTATAAAAAATATCTAATTGCCAACAAAACCCACGCATATCACTCCATTCCATTAACCACTTATACCCTTCACTTATACCCTTTATTCTCCACAGTAGTGTCTATAAATGTTCTTCGACACTGACAAGGAGAATTTGTTTGACAATCAAGAGCTTCTTCAGTTGGTTAAAATCATTTCCTTTACCCTGGTATTCTCATGACCTTATCATTTGATTCAGAGGGGATACAGCTAGGAGAACTCAGATGCTAATCACCTCTAAGAGATAACAAGTACAAAGCGGCTTTTTTCTGGAAAAAAATTTCTTATCTCTATCATTAAAATAATATTATAAGCACATGTATGTACCTAATCTACAAAGAAAGAATACTCTCATAAACCATCTATTCAATATCTGTATTCAAAGCTGCATGTATAATATTTTACTGTACCTGATTATCTCTCCTTGTTGTTGCAGACAGATAATTCCAAATCAAAACAGGAACAAACTGAAGAACAAACAGTTTGCCTGCTTTTCCCATTTCATGATACAACTCAAATAGACCTTTATAAACTGAATCTATCAGCTGAAAGGAAAAAAATTCTGAATTTTATTCTTTGATTATCAGCCAAAGAGTAGAGGTGTAAGGCAATATGTTGATAAAGGGATACTACCTTGTGTTCCTTCCCAGTCTCCACTCACCTCATGAGTATACTGGTTAGGTAAGCTTTGAAATATTCCATTCACAAAATCTTTATTACTCTTCAACTGTTGAAATCTTTTTGGTGATTCTGATTTGGAGAAAGACTGAAGCAAGACAGATGTATACATGAGTTTTAGTGCTAACAGCTGTTGGACAAAAAATCTAAAATTTTTTAAATTTGATTTTAAAAAAATTATCAACTTACAACAGCTGACAGAATAGACTAAAAGCACAATATAATGAAAAGCTGATAAAAAATAACTGATTCAAAAACAATGAACAAGTAATTTGTCACTTAACCGTCCGCATTGAAAAGGAATTGTTATCAGAGATCATTGGAACTTGGAGACCATATCACTCACCAAGTTATATTCATAAGTCTTACTATATTACAGTAAATATTGGTATTTACTCACACCCAAAACTTCTTTGATCGATTCCAGATCCATTAAAGAAGATCCCTCTCTTCTGATGGACAACTATCGTCTGCAGCGGGATACAAGCTTACTGTTTGCTCAGACACTTGAAGAGCTGGAGAGCTTTCCACAATCTTGGTTTTAGCTCAGAACATGACGAATTAAATGCACTAGACACTTAATATAAATATTCTCAATAAAATAAAGTTGAATTATAAGCAGATCATCTTTCATGTTGGGGGGGAAATCGACAGTCAAAAATTCCTGAAAATGAGGGCCTAACCACAACTGAAGGCCGCCATTTGTATAAGGAATACAACAGAGAAGCACTGGGTAGTAGAGTTTATCCCATTCTCTCGCGATTTGGAAAAAAAAGTTCAAACATGGCGGCTGCAATGCTTGGAAACAGAACTAAATCTATTGGATTGCCCTTCGTGGCTTCGATTACAAAGTTGAAACTCATTTGTAACTTGTCCAACATGGCTGCACGTTGTAAAGCTGGGAGAAATAAGTTATATAAAGTCAAGGTGTGTTGAAGTATATTGTTTCAACTTGGTTTTCTTCTTAGGTTGTCCAGTAGCTACTTTACGCGTGTACTCCCAAATATTTATTTGTAAGGCTGCTACTGTGCCCTTTCATTCGTTTTCAAAAACCTCCGATTACCATTTCTTTGTTGGACTTTCTTCAAAGGATTCGAAATCAGTGAGTTCATTTCCCTATATCTCTCTATTACAATTGCACTGAAACTAATTCTCGGTGATGAAGACTTAAAACAATTGATAATTGGAGCGAATGGATCTTGGTAAATATTCAAGTTCAGCTTAACCATCAATGCACTGCCTTAAACCCTTTACACCCCGTCATCATAATCCAGATTCTCTTTACTCTTTTCTATACATTTCCTTTGGTACTGACCAGTAGAATACATACATGTGCAGGCAAAATACAAATGTTGTTATGTTTTGTTCACAGCCAAGCACCAGAAAACTCATGATAACAGAGGAAATCAGAAATGTGTTTGAAATGAATAACATGGTGATTGTTTGCCAATTCAGTGACATGAATACAGCCGAATGGGAAGATTTACGATACACCCTTGGCAAGGATGAAATCATGGTGAAGATGTTCCCAAACAAAATTACATGCAAGGCTTTGGAAAATACCAAATACAGAGAGATACTACCTCTGTTTCTGGCTGCAACAGTTGTCACATATTCCAAAGAAGCAAAAGTGAAGACATTACTCACAGAACTTAAGAAACAGCCAAAAATGGGGATATTGGGCGGAAAAGTTGATGAGAAGCTTCTTTCAAGAAAAGATGTGGTAGATTACGCTAAGTTGCCACACTTAACTGAACAAAATGGCCAGTTATTGCACATGGTGACAGAACATTCTAGAAGGCTCACAACACTTCTTGAACAAAACCAAATGAATCTAATCACAAATTTGACACAATATGTCACTGAGGATGAAGTAAAAAGCTGAAAGACCTCCCTTCCTTCCCTCCCTCCTTTGACTGTGTAAATTTAACTTGCAATGAATGTCCTTGATAATTTTTAGTTCACTGGCTGTCTCTCAGAGTAATTTTTCACAACTATATCATGTCTGATTGTTATTTGTCAGTAATGCTTACAGAATAAGTTATTGTAAAAAGAGGGAGAAGAATTGAGAAGAAATGAACTAGAATCGTTGTGTTTGTTCTCAACTTTCCCAATAGCTTGATGAATAATGGTACGTGATAAATGATCTTGCCTTTTTCACAAATGTTGTTGGGTTGGACAGGAGTATGACAAGAAAGTGGGCACGAACAAGCATCTCAAAGCTCAAACTGTAAACCAAGACAAAGGTGAAGATCTCTCAATACCAGTGGTGAACTTTCTCCATTTGTCTTTCCACTAATGAGTGCTTGAATTAAAAATCTTGAAGATTATCAGTGTTCAGTATCTTGCTACTCTGATTTAGACTGATGATAGCTGAAAATCAAAAATTCAAATCGCAGTCTCATGGTTTTGTTTTGTTTTGTTTTTTTTTTTTAAAAAAGAGCTTTCAAACTCACATAGCAGATTTCCAGACAAATTTATAAAATAGTCCTGGACAGTCAACACTAACAGCCTGGGTGAACTGAGCTGGATATTCTTGTATGTATACACAGCTTTCAAACAGTTAGACAGAAACCTTGATACAAGTTATTTTTATTCATGAACTCTTTCATTCCCAAAATCTCATTAGTAATTCTCCTTACCGTCTGTCACACAATTCTAATGACATTAATTTGGAGAATTCAGTATTGGATCAACTAATAATCCCTTAATTGATAGATTTCTTTATTTTCAAGTTCTTGGGAAGGAGTGTCGAATGACAAGGATAGCTATGAATGAGACTCATCACATGTCTACTTGATTTGTAAGGAGAAATTCTTTCTTGGTCACACATGGGAGTAAAATGGTTAAATTTAAGGGGTGCTTTCATTTTATGCAACTTCCTCAACATTTCAGGAGTGTTCTTAACCTATCAGTGGTTTTTCATCACTATAAAAGACATCAGGAGATCTTTGCATGTGAATTGGTTGTACTGTTATGCCTTTTTTAACCCTCCGTGAGCTAACACACTATGAACAATTTGCCACAATAAAGACCATGACTTCAGAGAGCAGCTTAAAAGCCAATATAATGAAAATTCCTTAACTTAATGGTCCAACAATGGGAATGACCACACAGTATTCTTTTGAGTCAATAATTGGCTTGCAGTGGCACAAAACAACAGGATAGCACACATTATTTCAATCTGGCTACCCTTCAAGTGCACTTTTTCTGTGCTGACAATTTAAGTTTGGAAACGCATGATCCAGTTTCTGTTTATTTTTGTTCCAAACACAGCTTGACAAAACTAATTACATTTACCGGTAAGTTAAGGATCATTTTGATACAATGTAACTCGGACAACCTATAATCCTCGCATTATTTTCGAGGCATTTTACATCTTTGTACTCTTTCATGCACAAACAGCGGGAGCATTTAAAAGACGACATTCGTAGTCCAAGTTCCCATTAAAACCGCAAAGAGTTCTTCCACTGGTTTGAAATCAAACAATTACAAATATTGGTGTTACTTTTCCAAGTTCGTATGTAAAAAATGTCTCTCAATGCATCCACAAAATTAGTTTCTCCCCTCAAAGTTACGAAAATGTTCCATTTAGGCGGTAAATAATCCGTTCTGGTTAATGATGTCCCCCATGATCATCAGGTTTTTCAAGCAACTTCTCAATCCCAATGGCGATCACAAATGCTCCAACTCCCCACCAAAATCCAGGAAGAAACTTGCGAAGGTTTGCGTGCTTGTTTATGGAAGGATGGTATCTCCAGGCCTCAAATCGCTCCCAAGGATCTTTCCGGACATTCCTTGCAGAGGGCATGTCTCAATAGATCGTCAAAATGTAGGGAAACTTTCAACTCTTTCCAAATCTTCAACACTCGATATATTTAGTAGCCAAGCCTTTTGCGACAACGCACAGGGTTATGGGATAGCCTTAATGACACAGTTGTAAACATCTCAATGATGAGACTTTAAAAGAAGTCCACAAGTAAATACTTGATGAGGTGACTATGCTTTCTTCTTGATTATTTTTTTTATACCAAGGTCTGTTTAATGATGTGGGTTTATGTACCATTTAGGGCGTAGCTTCATCGCATAATCAACATTTTTCCGTATCATTATCGATGTATTCGATCGGCGAAGCATTCGCGTGGCTTGGCTGCGGGCGAAACTGAGAGGAAAATTATTCTCAGCGAAACAGGTGTTTTGATGAAATTTTCCTTCGAAATATCAGCTCAGTAGAAATTTAAAAGTTGACTTAAATCAAATGTTTTGAGTCGCTACGTCGATTACATCACAGAAAACCAGAGACAGTTTTAAAATTATTTGTGGTTCACAATTTTATAAGCATCCGAAGGTGCGGTACCGGGACCAGCAAATTGGTTTACTTATTATTCAATCACAAGCTTCTTGATTTAAGTTTTATCCAAAATTCGACGGCAAGATTTCCGCGCAGTTCATTACCTCATTGCATGCAGGTCTTCGACAATTGCGAAAACAATAGATTGCCTTTGAGACGACGGCTTTGTTTGAGAATAATACGGAGTTCTACGAATATCTTTCCAATTTGATGAGGTTTTTTTTTTATGTTTCCTGAAGATCGAGAGAGTAAGGGCTACTATAGACTTCATTATTTGGCGATTTTCAAATGAAATATACAGAAGGGACTTGTTAGTGGAATGTAGATTACTAACAGATGTAAATTTTTAGTCTGTAAAAATTGGTGGTAGCAATTCCTGCTAAGCAAAGTCAGTTTGCGTTATTTAATGCCAGTGATACTCTCCTATGAAATCCGATTTCAGCTTAAGTTCCTTCAACGGTGTTTTGAAGTACTAGACAGATGTTTTTGCTTCTCAAGCTGCTCTTACCTCAAGGCATAGATATGAAATGAATATTTTACCAAAAGTTAAAAATACAAGGAGTATATGCTCATCAGAGCGATCAGGTGGAATTGTACCTCAAGGCAAGTCTGAAAAAAGAGAGTCAACAAAAACACACCGATAACTGTGACTTAATAACACTTCAAGACTGACGTGATAACCATTTTACTTTCTAATACTCAGAGCTAAGGCAAAATTGCGGACGGCTCAACTTGATCGGTGAGCAGCAGAAGATGGGAGGCCAAGAATCAACAATGAAATTAAGGTACAGGTCGCTAGATATTATGTAAATATAGGAAAATATGTATTGATCTACGAACGCTTTCCAGTGTTGATACTCCTTCGATCTGTTAAGAGAATTTAAGATATACATTTTGTTTTGGCAGGGGAACGGGAAAGCAAGTTAGAAGAGGGGGAGAAAGGGATGGTGGGGGGAGAGGGGATGGGGCCTTGGAAAATTTGGAGAAAATGCTGAAGGGAAAGGGGGAGGGGGGTACGGAAGGTAGACCGGACAGTACGTTTCTTTGGCACTTGCTCGTCGTAGATATGTTAAAATACTTATCAACAGAAAATATTTTTGTCAACAATTGCATTGAAATGTGAATCATTGCAGAGATGACCAAGACCCGAAATCATTTGACGACATCTCGTCCGCCGGGACACCAAGTACCAGTTCTCCGCGGTTTACGTCTACCGACATGTTGTACACTGCGGCTTCGGCACCAGAACTGAGATCGAACCCTATCAGACCTAAGGAGTTGCTAAGAAACCTGCGAAAGTACCATAAAGATACAGTCCGCTTACCAGCTAGCGACACACAGTGGGCTAAACAGCTTGTCTACAGCCAAACCCAGAAACTCCTCGAGTTTTGCAAACGGGAGACAGCGGTCATTCGTAATATGGAGTACGCGGGCTCTATGTATGAGAGACTGGAAACTAAGAACAACAGTGATTTTGATGTTATGGTTGTCTTAAAGACGGGTTCAGAAGATGTTTCAGTTGAAGAAGTTGTTCCAGGACTGTATACAAAACTAAAACTGAACACTGAACAAGCTGACACGAAACTTGTCAAGTTTACAGACACCCGGGACTACCTGCGCCCAGATAAGATGCAAAATTTGCTTGACAAGGTAGCCCAGGCTTGGACTGAGAGCTCGAAAAGATTCTCTGATGGAACCAGAGTGCGGACTCACAGGCATGGTGCAGCGGTTGAGATGATTGTCCGGGATACTAACAGAGGAGGCTCTGTAACCGCGCAGTTGGTGCCTTGTCTGAGGATCGAGGATGACACCGGAATGCCGCGATATTTCGTGCCGTGCGCATTTCAGGAATACACGAGATTCGAGTTGGGAAATAACACAGAGCGTTCGATTTTGTGGCGGAAAACGTTTTCGTTGCGTGAAAGAGAGTTGCTGTCTAGTTTAGACCATTCTGGAAGTACTTGTCGTACGGAATGCCTAAAAATTCTCAAATTCCTTTTCAGCTCGGACAGAAAGCTACGCGCTTTTCATTTCTACCAGCTGAAAACTGCCTTTCTACACTATCGTAGTCTTGATCAAGACTGGCGCTCAGATGAGCTTGGGGAGAGATTCCTGGGAATGTTGAGATACATTCGGGAGTGTATCATGAAAAAAGATCTGCCGCATTACTTCGTACCCAGTGTTAATCTGATCAAAGGGCTCAATGGTTCGTCACTTAACAGCGTCCAGGCAAGACTGCAACAGTTACTCACAGATGAAAAACAGCTGTTCTATGCAATTTCAGGGTGAACTGCAAGTTATGATCAAAGAACTCTGCTAATCTTTCAGAATTTTACCATTTTAGTTGTAGTAAAAAAATAAACTTTTCGAATACGCACAAATCAATTAACAAGTGATGAAAAACTTTCATTTCACAAACTTATGCAACTCGGCTTATGTTTCAGTGATCTGATCGCTGGTTAGCATATTTTAAATTAGAGCAAACAGTTGCGAAGAAGTTTATTGCACGATTAAAAAATACATAGTGAAAAAATGGACATTAACGCGCCGCGCAGAACTGTGGGCGCGCGAACGTCAGTTTTTTTTACTGATTTTTTTATCGATCGCGCGACGGACTTCCCAAGCATGGACTGTTCACAGTTTAGATTATATTGTGAATTGTAAACTATACTAACATATACGTGTTTGAAGTAAAAATAGGACGACTTTCTGCAACAATATTATGCGTCAGATACATCTCATTAAAATTTCTCTTGAGAACATAACACAATGGTTGGTTATCAAAGAGAATCCAAGTTGGCGTGAATTTTTGTTAAATTAGCGAAACGAAACATTTGTCAATGATGACTTGTTTACGCTTCTTTTCCGTCCTGCCCCTTGAACCTTTTTGCTTTGAAAGTCAATTCTTCGCTTTAGAACGAACGAGGATCTTGATATGCTTGAGATACTGGGATAAAAAAAGGGCTGGAGCAGTTTCCTCTGTTTTGTCGCTATTGGTAGGATCAACCCCATCGAGAGGATCTTAATGGCGTTTGATCGTCAGCCATCAATCGGCCTAAACGAAGCTCGGATAATTTGGTTATGTTATGTAAACTGGGGTGTTTTACATGGATTTCTAGCCCTAACAAAAGCCGAAAATGGCCACGTGTAAAATTACGACAATTTTTAACTTGTGTTGGGTATCGCCAATCGGCTGCTAACCTGACGTCCATCGCCTTTCGCGGCACTCTGTTGGGTTTCGGAATGAATAGCAAAGCGTTCACCATTTTCAATGTAAGACCGTTCGTCAAATTCTTAACGTAAGTTTAAGCCTATGGTATTTACATAATAACAAAATAATACATTTTTGCTTGTAGATATGGGATTTCTCTTCTCGCGTTCAACAACAAGTTAGCGCGGTGTGCCGGAGAAATTCCATATCCATACACGCCCAATTATCGTCTGTGTCAATAACGTCAATTTGGCGGAGTAAGGAGTTTTAATCTACGTTACTTTCCAAAACAAGTGGTTTTTCTTTAGCTACAAACGAGCCAAGAACATTCTGTGGAGCCAAAACGTCATGGATCTCCATGAAAACGTTTAGTGACTTTGAACATACTTGCTCTTTCACTAATTTTTGTGACTTTACTGAGTCAGCAGTACCTAAGGAAATGATTGATTAAATAAATCTTCGCTAATTTCTTCTCTTTTGCCTAATGGGAACGGTCATTAGCACATAACGAGGGGGTTATACGAGTTCGCTCTAATTTCTAAAAATAGCTTGCTAGTGCCACGTGGTCCCATGTGTAATTAAATTTGGGCTCGGTCCATTGGACTCATTTCAATTTGAGCTGTACCGACTGGCAAAGATTCTAGCAACCCAGTGATAACTCGATTTGGAGCTAACACAAATGATGTCTGGAGATGGAGAGTTACGTGGTAAGACGTGTTCTGAGATGTCGACCTCGTACAATGTGTTATTGAATCAAATCTGAACAAATGTATTTATATATGGGTTAAGAGCACACGGTATGAGCTGTAAATTTATAAGGTAACACCAAAATGAATTAAAGGTTCGGCTTAATACAAGTGGGTGTTTATTCCAGTTTGAAGACGCACCATTTCAAGACTTATAGTGACGAATCCCATTTATTCAGTCATGATTCCAGTAAGTTCGCAGACTCAGGTAGGCATCTTGGCCAGCCATAATATAAATTAAAATACCCGGCTTTTCATATGTTTACGGCTTTGAGTGTAATCTTTATTCATTCTCGGTCAAATCTCATGAAGAATACGGTAGATTCAAATGCAAAGAGTTTCTAAAGCTGACTGTTTTTAGAGCGTCTAAAGGAGTTGCGTGTTGTGTGTAGAGATGTGCACAATACGTGATAACTCTCAACCGAATAAAAGAAAAACAAAGTAAAAAGAAAAACTGCAAGAGACGAGCCGCCAGACCGTTTAAAGTTCTTTTAAAACTCATTATTTTAGACGCTTGCCAAGAGCAGTTTCGGATCTCCAAGAATCTTTGGAACGTTCGGCAGTCTCTAGGTTTCCGAATATATTCCCTTGACAAACCTACACAAACCTAGCGATTTTATTCGCCGATCACCCGGTACAGCGATTTCGATTTTTGCCGACTGCCACTGAGTAAATATATCTTATTATTAAAAACTGGATCATTGGATAATGCAATTCAAGACTTTTTATTGGCTTAGCCATTATGGTATATCAGCCAATGTACCATAATCTACAAATATGGTAAGCGTACGCGTCAGCTTAAAATCAAAAGGGAGCTAAAAAATCCAGTTTCTTCTTACAAAATAATAATTTCTTGGGAGCGTTTTTAATAAAACAATTATTCCACTCGCGCTTGTTGGATATGAGATGATTATAGCCAACTCGGCGCTACGCGCCTCGTTGGCTATCTATCATCTCATATCCAACGCGCGCTCGTGGAATAATTGTTAATTAGACGTTTTAGGAGAAGAGATTTGTTAAACAATTTAACTATAACGAATTGCGATAAAATCGAAAATTTTAAAAAAATTAAAAACCACATTGGTTTAAGAAAAATACGACGACGTTTCGACGTTCGCTTAACGTCATTATCAAGTCAATAAAGAGTGAAACAACAAAATTGAAAATATTTAAATAACAAAGAATTCACACGCAGAGGTCACATATTCGCGCGCAGAGTCGCGTGAAGAATTTGGCACGAACAGTCTTTCTGAGTATTTAACTCGGGGCTCAGTTCTCTAATGAATAACATCTCAAAAATTAGATAATAAAACTCTGATCTACATTTCTTTAGAACAGAAAATTGCCTATCAACCAAATCAATATATCAACCGTGTTGCTCAAGATGCCTCCCGATTGCAGAATATTTGTGTTCGTTGATGCGCTGGTGTAAGTGTCGGGCGGTATACCCGACATAATCTGCGTCGCACAGATCACATTCGAATTGGAGATACCTTGTGAGATGCCTGATATAGAACCAGCCAACACACCTTTACAGGTCAATGAGAACAGGCCGGGCAAAATAGAGATCAAGAGAGCCATCAAACGAAGAATGGAAAAGCAGCAGGACCTGACGCCATACCACCAGAAGCCATCAAGACAGATTTAAGTACCTAGACAGAATTGCTTTACGAGCTGTTTGGGGAGATCTGGGAGACAAATGAGGAACCGGATGACTGGAAAGAAAGCTACCTGATCAAATTACCAAAGAAGGGAGACCAAAGGGAATGCTAGAACTGGAGAGGCATCATGCTGCTATCAACACAGGGGGCTCAGACAAGCGACGAGTCTGGTTGTTTATTCGAAATATAAAGGAATGTATGGGAGAATATTGATGAGTCTTATTATCGTAAACTTATATCATGAAATGTCTGAGTTAAAGCTCAAACTAAATGTAAACCTACCTCACTTGTTGTGTATTGTCATTTCTGTGGCTCTAAATGGCGAGTTTGAGCGATTTGGTGGGTTTTGCGTCGACTGTTACTATACGTTATAAGAAGGAGAAATAACGTATGGTAACAGTCGACGCAAAACCCACCAAATCGCTCAAATTCGCCATTTAGAGCCACAGAAACGACAATACACAGCAAGTGAGGTAGGTTTACATTTATTTTTAGCTTCAACTCAGACATTTCATGATATAAGTTTACGATAATAAGACTCTTCAATATTCTCCCATACATTCTTTATATTTCGAATAAACAACCAGACTCGTCGCTTGTCTGGGCTCCCTGTGCTATCAACTGCCGGAAAAGTGCTGAGCAGAATAATCTTGGAGAGACTGACGGTGGTAGTGGACAAACGACTGAGGGATGAGCAAGCTGGATTTCGTATTGCCCCCTCGAGGATTATCTTGGAGCAGTCGCTCGAGTGGAACTCTCCCGTCTACACGACCTTTGTTGATTTTGAGAAGGCCTTTAACAGCGTTGATAGAGCCGTGTTTTAGAAGTTATTACGTCATTACGGCATCCCCGGCCCGAGAAGTACATTACCCTTATACAGAAGACCTATGACAACTACAGCTGCAGGGTAATTCACAACGGCTTCCTTTCTGAATTGGTTGAGATGCTCACCTGAATACGCCAGGGTTGTTTCTTATCGCCCTTTCTGTTCCTGCTGGTCATCGACTGGATAAGGCGACAGACAACAGAGAAACATCGAGATGGCAGACAGGGGACCCTCGTGACTCGGTTAGAAGATCTAGACTTCGCGGACGATGTAGCCTTACTCTCACACAGTCACCAGGGCATGCAATCCAAACTAACACGAATGACCAAGATGTCAGCAAATGCAGGCCTTAGAATCAACAAATCTAAGACAAAGGGCATGAAAATTAACACCAGTAATGCAGACAGGCTGGAATCGGAGGGGGAAGACATCGAGGAAGTGGAGGACTTAGTCTACCTTGGCAGTAACATCAGCAAGGATGGGGGGGCTGATCGAGACGTACAAGGGAGGATCGGGAAGGCAAGAACTGCTTTGACAACTCAACGTCCTGTGTGGAATTCTAAAACAATCTCCAGAAAGACCAAACTACGGATTTTTAACACCAACGTGAAATCCCTCCTCCTGTATGGGTCAGAGACATGGAGGATAACAAAAGCAACCTCCAACAAACTGCAGTGCTTTGTCAATAAATGCTTACGGTCCATGATGGACGTACACTTGCCCGAGGTCATAAGGAATGAAGATTTGTGTGCAAGAACTGATCAGGAACGAATTGATATCCAGATTAGAAGGCACAAATGGGGTTGGATAGGGCACAGCCTCAGAAAACCGAGCAGCAATGTTACCAGGCATGCACTGAGGTGGAACCCACAAGGGAAGAGAAAACAAGGCCGTCCTAGAAACAGCTGGAGGAGAGCCGTGGACAAGGAGGCGGCCAAGGCAGGCTACACCTGGAATGAAATAGAGAAGCTGGCCTGGGATAGAAGGAGATGGCATGAGGTTTCATTGGACCTATGCTCCACAGGGAGTGAAAAGGGATAAGCAGCTATGCGCTGGTGTAAGTGTTGGACGGTATACCCGACATAACCTGCGTCGCACAGATCACATCCGAATTTATAAACCACGCATCGATTATTGACAATAGGGGGTTCTTCTCTTTTAGAGCGAGAATTTGGCCAATCTTCTTGGTCTGAAAGACGGGTTTAATTTCGACACCAATGTTAGCGCTCAAAATTTTCATTGGCTTCTTTACAGAGTTAGCTGATTGTTGATCT